CCCATCAACTCGGGAGTTCTCAGGAACATTAGCAAGGCGGAATATACGGGTGACAAACGAAGGGAAGTAGTGGCCTTTGCTTAGTTCGGGCGATCGGATGAACATTTCTTCCGAGAGGACTCGGGCGACATCAAACCCTTGGTGAGTCATGAAGCAGTAGATCATAGCGGCCCGTAGCCCATTTACATCGGTGGTATTGCTGGATGGTAGCAACCGAGTGGTGATGACAGTGAGCCAACATTTGGCCTCCCAAGTAAGAGACTTGGAATGCAGAGTCATCGGTTGTGCTACCCATTTGGGCTGTCTGCCAGGTATACAGATGACCTCCAGAATTCTGTCCGAGTCAACCATCAGTCGACTAGCCATGATGTAATGATCATCACCCGTGAATGCGGGGAAGCGATACACTCTGCGGATGACCTCTATAGCAGCATTAACCGGGGTGTTGTGCACAGTCACAACTTTGTCCTCGTGTTCTGGCAGGTTTGCATAGAATTCCCTCACTAGCTGAATATTTGCTTCCTCGAGCGCCTCAAAGAAGATGTCCAGCTGACACCTCTGTAGCTCATCAAACATATTGGGGCATTCCTTCACCAAAGCCTTCCTGTCGATATGGACCTCATGGAGTAACTTCTTGGCAAGTTTCTGATTGTACCTTGCCTTTGCTTCTGCAGAGACGAACCGAGTGCTATCAAACCGTGGTGTACTAGTTTGGCCCCTAGCTCGTGAGGAGCCTCCTAGGTCACTAGCAGAGGACCCGGTGTTTCGTCTCTTACGGGATGAACTCATAATACCTGTCAAAACAGAGAAACACGTATTAGGATGAGCCTAAAATGTGTGACTATGGGTGGTTACTCAGACTTCACCACAACCATGTCACAACATCTCCTTATATCACCATTGAGGCAATTTCTCAAACACATTGTGGGCAAGGCATTATCTTCATATTCATGGCCCCAAGGGAATCAAGAAAACTTTCCCAATTCAACTATCTACTACACCCACACATTCCACACTCTTTGTTAACCATCACCCACCAACAACACCATTCCAAACATTCAAAACACAGCCCCTTCACCAGACATATGCTAAAAACGAAATTACACTAAAAAGAAGAAGAAGAACTAAACAAAACAAAATCTTATTACTAATACTACATTAGAACAACATGAACTAGCATAATGCAACAAAAACAATAGAAGAAAAGGAGAAGGGGGGTCGGAAACATACCTTGGGGGGAAGAAGATGAGGGGTGTTGTGAAGGAGAAAGAAGAAGAAGAGAGTATAGAGGGGAGGGTTATGGTTTAGAGAGAGAGAGGGAAGTGGGGATTTTAGGGGGGGATTGTTTATTTTGATATAGGTAAGGGTTTTAAAATTAAAAGAAGAGTGGGAAAAACGAGAAAAAAAATAAAAAATTAAAATATCAGCAGACGTTACCGCGGTCGACGCCGCGGTCTGAGATAGAGTCCCCCGCAGTCGTTACCGCGGTCCGAGCCACGGTCCTGGTGAAAAATTGAATATTCAGTGATTTCTGCGGTCCTCGCCGCGGTTTGTGGTCCACCCGCGGTCGCGGCTGGCAATTTTTTTTTTCTTTTACACGAAGTTACATACTACACTTACAACACATTCGTGGGTTGCCTCCCATGCAGTGCTTGATTTAACGTCGCGGCATGACGCAAGTAGTTGAGCCTTCACTCCTCATTCGCGTACTGGGTTTCTTTCAAATTGATCACCGTTGTATTCCTTTTTTCTTCAGCTATTCCAAAGTAATGTTTCAACCTTTGCCCATTTACTGAGAACTTATTTGTCCCATCTTCCGACTCAATCTCGACAGCTCCACTTGCGAACATTTGCACCACTCTAAATGATCCTGACCATTGGGACTTTAACTTACTCGAAAACAATCTCAGCCTTGAATTATACAATAATACCTTGTCACCGGGTTTGAAATTTATGTCCACAATGTGCTTATCATGCATCTTCTTCATTCTTTCCTTGTAGAGCCTAATATTTTCAAAGGCTTGATATCTAAATTCTTCCAGCTCATGCAACTCGGTCAGTCGATTTTGTCCAGCTGCTTCGGGATCCATGTTCAATTGTTTCAGTGCCCACCAAGCTCGATGTTCTAGCTCCACAGGCAGGTGACAGGCCTTCCTAAATACCAACTTGTATGGTGACATACATATTGGTGTTTTGAACGCAGTTCTATAGGCCCAGAGTGCGTCATCAAGCTTCTTTGCCCAATCAGTTCGTGTGGCATTCACCGCATTGGTTAGTACACTTTTTATCTCCCTGTTGGACACTTCAACCTGCCCACTGGTTTGTGGATGGTAAGGGGTAGCCACCTTGTGACGTACATCATACTTTGCAAGCAATTTCTCGCAGGCTCTATTACAGAAGTGAGTGCCTCCATCACTGATGATCGCTCTTGGTATCCTAAATCGGGTGAATACATTCTTTTTTCACAAAACCTATCAACACTCTTGCATCATTAGTGGGCAACGCTGCAACTTCCACCCATTTAGACACGTAATCCACAACAACAAATATGTATTTATTACCAAATGAGCTGACGAAGGGGCCCATGAAGTCAATCCCCCAAACATCAAACACCTTTACCTCTTGAATCGGGTTCATGGGCATCTCATGGCGATGGGAAATGTTCCCGGTTTACTGACATTCGTCGCAGCCCTTCACCCATAGGTGTGCATCTCTAAACACTGTTGGCCAAAAGAACCTGGCCTCTAGCACTTTCGCAGCTGTCCTGGCTCCTCCAAAATGTCCTCCATATGTTGATGCTTGACAAGCCTGCAAAACATAAGATTGTTCTATCTGGGGGACACACCTCCGGATCATATTTTCAACACAGATTCTAAACAAATAAGGCTCGTCCCAATAATACATGTGGCAATCACGATAAAACTTTTTCTTTTGGACAAATGAAAGGTCATAGGGAACAATACCGCAGGCCAGGTAGTTTGCAAAATCTGCATACCATGGCGCATCCTCAAGACTGGCTGCGAGCAGCTGCTCGTCTGTAAAGGTTTCCAGGATCTCTTCGACCTCGACTGATTTTTCAGCTCCTTCAAGTCGCGATAGATGATCAGCGACTTGATTTTCTGTGTCCTTACGGTCACGAATTTCGAGGTCAAATTCTTGCAACAGTAGCACCCAACAAATCAGGCGCGTCGTAGACTCCTTTTTCTCAATTAGGTACTTGAGTGTTGCATGGTCAGTGTATACAATTACCTTGGAACCAATCAGATATGATCGGAACTTGTCAAACGCAAACACCACCGCCAATATCTCCTTCTCCATCACTGTGTACTTGAGCTGTGCATCGCTTAGCATTCTACTTGCGTAGTAAATCGGGTGCATCAGCTTATCTTTTCGCTGCCCCAAGACTGCTCCTATAGCATAGTCGCTGGCATCACACATGAGCTCAAATGGTTGCTCCCAGTTGGGTGCAACAATGATGGGTGCAGTGATCAATCTCTTCTTCAGTTCCTCAAATGCCAACCTGCAATCATTAGAAAACACAAAGGGCTGATCCTTTTCAAGGAGTTTGCATAATGGGTTAGCAATTTTGGAAAAATCTTTTATGAAATGCCGGTAGAATCCAGCGTGTCCAAGAAAACTTCTCACCGCCTTGACTGAAGTGGGCGTTGGTAACTTCTCAATCACGTCAACCTTAGCATGGTCGACCTCAATTCCTTTACTGGACACTCGATGCCCCAGGACTATACCTTATTGTACCATAAAATGGCACTTCTCCCAGTTTAGCACTAAGTTTGTCTCCACACATCTTTTAAGCACTTTCCTTAAGTTATGAAGACAGTCTTCGAATGAATCTCCCACCACAGAGAATCATCCATAAAGACCTCCATAATATCCTCCACCATGTCTGAAAAGATGGCTAACATGCACCGTTGAAAAGTCGCGGGTGCATTGCAAAGCCCAAAAGGCATTCTCCGAAAGGCAAAGATGCCATACGGACAGGTGAAGGACGTTTTCTCTCTATCTTCGGGGGCTATTGATATCTTATTGTACCCCGAATATCAATCCAAGAAACAGAAGTGCGATCGCCCAGCTAGCCTGTCCAATATTTGGTCAATGAAAGGTAGGGGAAATGGTCCTTCCGGGTGGTTGTGTTCAATTTCCTGTAATCCATGCAGATACGCCATCCTATGACTGTACGAGTTGAGATCAACTCATTGTTCTCATTTTATACAACAGTCATTCCCTCCTTTTTCGGCACACATTGGACAGGGCTGACCCAATTACTATCAGAGATGGGGAAGATGATTCCCGTATCTAACCATTTGATTACTTCTTTCTTTACAACCTCTTTCATGTTTGGGTTCAGCCTTCGCTGGTGTTCCCTGGAAGGTCTGTGCCTCTCTTCCAAGAGAATCCTATGCATATAGAAGGCTGGGCTGATACCCTTTATGTCTGCCATGGTCCAGCCAATGACAGTCTTGTTTTCCTGCAGTACTTGTACGAGCCGTTCTACCTGCACATCTAACAAACCAGATGATATGATAACAGGCAGGGTCGAATCAGGGCCTAAGGACACATACCTGAGGTGATTTGGGAGTGGCTTCAGTTCCAACTTGGGTGGTTCCTCTATTGATGGCTTTGCTGGAGGAGTGGCCCCTTTTTTCTAACTCAAGGGACTCGAACTGAGGTTCCCTTGACCAAAATCCTCGGACTTCCAGTGCCATGACCCATTCAGCTAACCCTTCACCATCCATTTCTTCTAAATTCATCAGATATGCCTCCAATGGATCTTTTACAGTTAGGGTCATATCATCTTCTTGCAGGATTACATCCACTGCTTCTACTAGAGAGCAATTAGCATATTCACTGGGTCTCATCACAGATTGCTGAACATTGAATATGACTTCTTCATCGTTCAATCTCATTTTTAATTCCCCAGTTTCACAATCGATCAGTGCTCTCCCTGTGGCTAAAAATGGTCTCCCTAAAATAAGGGGTATCTACTCATCCACCTGACAATCCAAGATAACAAAGTCTGCAGGGAACACGAATTTCCCCACTTGTACCAACACATCATCAAGAATACCAGTGGGCCTCTTCACTGTGCGATCAGCCAGCTGTAGCAGCATCGAAGTTGGCCTAGCTCTACCAATGCCTAGTTTGGTGTACACAGCCAGCAGCATCAGATTTATGCTGGCTCCCAAATCACACAATGCCTTTGCAAAGGCATAACTTCCAATTGTGCATAGAATAGTGAAGCTACCTGAGTCCGACATCTTTTGAGCCATTGGTTTTGCCACCACTGCATTGTAGGTCTGTGTCAAAGTTATAGTGGATAGATCCTGAAAATCAAACTTCCGTGACATTAGATCTTTCATCATCTTAGCATAATCGGGCATCTCCCTCAAGGCATCCATCAAAGGAATATTCAACTAAATTTGACGCAGCATCTCCATAAACTTCTTATATTGGTCTGCCTTCTTTTGTTTGACCAGTCTCTGAGGGAAGGGTGCAGGTATCACCCTCTGTGCATTGCTTGTTGGCTTCTCTCTGTTAGAATTTTTTGGCACAAGAGGTGCCACTTGTTCTGCAACTTGCTCATTCATCTTTTCTTTGCCTTTTTCCTCCTGACTCTGCTCAATCACCACTTTAGTAAGTTCTGTTGGTTCCTCTATATCTAATTGAACTGGAGTGGCTGGTGTAGTGTCTTTGCTGGCTTGTGCAATTTCCTGCTCTCTGTCTAAATCTCTCCCATTCCGGAGACTTACTGCCATCACTGATTCGGGTTTTGGTCATTGGGGTTTATGTTTGTGTCTGCAGGCAAAGTTCCCTGAGGACGGTTGTTCAAAGCCATGGACATCTGACCCAGCTGCGTTTCAATATTCTTTATGACTGAATCATGCACTGCCAATTTTTCCTGCACTCTATTATTTGTCCCAATGAGTTGCTGAAGCATACCCCTGATTTCCACCATGTTGTTATCTTGCTGCTGAGGGGGTGGTTGGTATGTCAATTGTTGCTGATTTTGTTGTGGATAGCCCTGTGGTTTCTGATATGGTACTGGAACCAATTAGTTTTGAGGGTGCATACCCCAAGCTGCTGCATATTAGGCCTGTATTGCTGATTTTGTTGCGGTCTCCACTGTTGTGCTCCTTGCCTCTGACCCCCATAGTTGTTGACATAATTCATATCTTCCCTTGCCCCTTGATTTTCACCTTCTCCGCTCCATGAACACATATAAGACTGATTAATACAAGGTGTACACAGTCGCCCATTTGTTGTATCAATAATGTGCACCTGTTTTGTACCCATGTCATCAATCTTCTTTGTCAATATGCTCATTTGGGTCATGAGTGTGGCCATGTTCTCTACATGCGAATTATTTGGGTCAAGAGGAACTGAATGCACTATGGGTTCCAGTGTTGTACCTCTAGTCATCCACCCTGAATTTTGTGACATCTTATCGAGAAGGATTTTGCACCCAGTGAATGTTTTACTTAAAAATGCACCTCCAACTGACGCATCCACATTTGCTTTGAAATTGTCAGCTAGCCCCATGTAGAATCTCTGGCCAAGCATTTGGTCTGGAATGCCATGGTGAGGACACTTCACTAACATCCCTTTAAATATTTCCCAAGTTTCTTGCAAGGACTCAGAGGGCTGCTGCCTATACTGCAATATGTCATCAATCTATTTTGCAGTCTTGTTAGGCGGATAGAACTTGTTCAGGAACTGCTTGACTAATTCCTCCCAGGTGGTAATAGAGTTGATAGGGAGCGAATTTAGCCAAGTCTGAGCTTCCCCGATTACCGAGAATGAAAACAGTAGTAGCTTGATAGCTTTCGAAGTTGCATTTGGCTGCCTTTGGGTCATACAAATTGTCAGAAAATTCTTCAAGTGTTGTTGCAGGTCTTCAATGTGTAACCCGGAGAACAGTCCTTTATTCTGCAGCAGATGCAGCATGTTGTTGGTGATCTGGAATGTCTCCGCTTGAATTGCGGGCACAACTATGACAGTGGCTAGATTATCAGTTGTGGGCCGTGCCCAGTCATAAAGTGCAGCTTCGGGCACAAGAGGTGCCACCCTTCTGACATTTAAGTTAGCTGGCTCATTCCTGACGTTTCCGTTGACGTTATCTACGTCACCCATGTCAAATTCGAGTTGGTGTGATTGTTGAAGTCTTTTGTTGGCACGGTTCAATGCCCTGAATGTTTTCTCGGGGTCTGAGAGTCCTTCTAGCAGTTCTCCAGTCCTCGAAGAACTTTTAGGCATACACCTGCTTTCCACAAGAGTTCAAACGTTAGAATTTCAATGAAAAGATTGGGTATAAAGAAAACTGACTACACTTAGAATTTTTGTAGTTCTCTCAATTGTAATTGATAACACCGTTAATTCCTCGACAATGACGCCAAAATTTGATAACGCCAAATTATGCCTTATACAAAGACACACACGGACGTAGCAAATATAATCTGAGTAATTCTGCCCAGAGTCGAACCATAGAGAATTAACTTATCAATTACTTTTGACTGATTTACTAAATTCACAGAATCAATTTTCCCCAAACTTTGTAATTCACAATTGATGATATTTCTAATAACTAAAGTCTGAAAATAATTAACAGCTGAAAATTAACTATGCTTGATGTGTAAATAGTTGGAATAAGGTCTAAGGTAATGGTTTTCCCTGTTGGTGATTTCCTTGGTTGTATGTTTCTTATAGCGATACTTTAGTTGTCTCTATCAATCAAGAACTCTCCAGCTATCATAAATCTCTCTCAAGCAATTATGATAATTTACTGGACGCACTCTCTTAAGCTACGCTAGCTAAATTCACATTACTGTTCTTTTAGATTGCACCCGAGGTATCGTTATCTCTAATCCAATCTCTAAACCCTCGGTTATGACTCTCGTTTATACTCCGGGAGTGATGTTGTTCAAACAACTACCTAAATATGCACTCTCTCTAAAGAAGATACATAATAAATAGGAACGGATAATTGAGGGCCCTTTCAACTAACCACAATCAAAGCGTAGATGAACAAATAGAGATTAACAACCAATTCAAACAATATTAATATAACAACCAAGTCATCCCCAACGGGTTTCACCAAAATCTTAGATTAAAGTATTTAGCTACTCATGACAACGTAAGAATAAACTACGAAAATATTCATAATGGAAAATTGAAAGAAAAATAGAAGAGATTAAGAACTATGATATTTTGGGTGATCTCTCACACTTGTTCTTCTTATAAGGGTTTTACAAAAGTTTTTCCGAATTGATACTTTGGCCCCTTAAATTTCTGGACTGTGAATATGCCGCCGCGGCCGCGGCGCTGACCGCGGAGAACACTGACTCCAACCGCGGCGCGAACCGCGGTGAGTATGCTGGGCCTTTTTGTCTTTGCGTTCCTTGTCTTTTTGCTCTTTTGTATTTGGGTACTTCTTGAGTGAGTGTTTTCTTCACGTTATTGCCTCTAAACACTTCATGTTGCTTCCTCACATCTTATATTCCCTGCGAAACCAAATAGCATTAATTAAAGCATTTTATTGGCAACTTACATTATAAAACAACAACAAAGCATGGGCAATTATGGTGTAAATAACAACTATACAGCCTATTATCAAATATTATCTTAATTTTACAATGATTTTTTTATTTTTTATCTTTTAATATGATATTTTAAAAAAATACCAAAAATAGGTTTGTTTTAACGGACAGTTTTATTTTAATAGTTATTTTTCTTAAGTAGAATTAATTAGTAAATGGTGTAGTATTTTTTGTCTTGTTTTGGAAGAAAAAGTATGAAATATGGGGCTAATTTTGTTTGGTCTTAATTGAAAAGACCCAATTTCGAATAGCCCAAAACATTGAGTCCATACCTATTCCTCATTTGACCTAAACTCCTGTAAAATAACCCTAAATCCTAAAATCAAGAGACCTAGATCCTGACACTAAAAAAAGGGACAACCGCAATTCCTAAAAAATGGAGAAGAACGGCGATTTAGCGGATTCTTCGTAGGAAAAGCCAATACCTTGCAAAAATCTAACCTTCTTCGAATTTATCAACTCGGGTATTCAGAAGATGAGCATTTAAGGCTGTTGGCAAGTTCAAATTTCCAATGTCTAGTTCTTTAAGATAAATCAGTGTTGGTCTCAAACAGAAGGGGACAAGTACTAACAAAGAAAATGGAAAACGGCAAATCAAGAAAACGGAGGAGATTTCTATGATTTGACTAATTCTTAATCAAGTTTCAAGGAAAGAAAATCAAAAAGAAAATACAAAAAAAATACATTTCTGCCCCTCTTGCGTTATTAACAACGAAAAGCTAACCATTGTCAGAGATTTGGAGGTTTTTGGTTTATTTGAGGTCGAGTTTGGATGTCGAGTGTTCCGTTCTCGATATGAGGTTCTGATTTGTAATTTCGGTGTTTCGGTCTAAGAATTGTTGTTTTGTTTAGCCTGATTAACTTGCAATTTTCAGTTTTGTTTAGCCTGATTGACTTGCAATTTTCAGTTTTGTTCATCAATAAAAGGTTCATTTCTCAATTTTCTTTCTCATTTTATTGTGTTATGATAGCTCAGTGCGCGTGTTGGTTGATTTGTGATTTTACGTTATTTGAGTAGTTTGTCTTAGTTTTCATTTAATTTGTATTTCGATTGTGATGTATGTAGTCTTGGTTCTTGAATAAATACTTTTAATTGGGTAGATGGAAAATTTGGAGTTGTTTCTTTCTTGACAAGGAATAAGAATGGGTCATAGATTGATTTTGAACCATAAAGAATTTGGCCAAGTAATAGATCATGTTAGCTAGCCTATTTGCTCCCCAACAATATCTTGTTCGTAAATTTGGTATCACAATAATCTCAAAATTTAGGAAGAATAATGAACACCGTTAGAGTGCTTTAGGCGCGTTTCTAATTTATTATCGTGATTACGTACACGTACGCGTGACATAGTTACGATACCAAAAAATAAATAAATCGAGGTATGCGTTCGCGCAACTTCGGTCAAACTTTCTTAATAATAATACAACATTATTAATGGTGGACACGTTCGTGTGACATGATTTTTTGACGCGCCAAATAAATGGGTACATCTACGCGTGACCTGTTTTAAGATAATTTCTTGACTAAAAGAGGTAAATGCACATAGGTTCTAAAATATGTAATTAGACAATTTAATAAGCCAAGTATATGATTAAAGTGATCGTGCTAAAACCACGGAATCCGGGAATGTCTAACACCTTCTCCCGGGTTAACTAAATTCCTTACCCGGACTTCTGTGTTCGCAGACCATAAATTAGAGTCAAAACCTTCCTCGATTCGAGATTTTAAACCGGTGACTTAGGACACCATAAATTATCCTAAGTGGTGACTCTGAAAAAATTAAATAAAATAATCTCATTTCGAT